CGTCAACCAAAAAGAAAAAGAAAGTATAATCTAAATCGAAACCGTCGTCGCAACGAGAGCAAGCCGATGCGCGGCGGCCGGCAAAAGCCTCTCTCGCGAGCGAAAGAAACCGGGCGATTTCGATCGCGCGGAGACGCGCGGTTAAATATTCATCGTCGTCATTCCGCGGGCCGGACATCAAAGACGCCCCAAGCACCGGTCCGCGTATGCGTACGTGCGCACAACCGGCAGCCGTCGTATCCGGTAGAGAATTTCAAATCGATCGCTTGTTATTCCCGGCGCGAGTCGCACGGACGAATGTCCCACCGGTGACAGTCTTTATATTATCTTGTCGCGGCGGCGGTGGCGGCTACGTTTCTTTCTTTCCGTTCAACGAGCGGCGCGCACCGCGTTCATCGAATTACAGGCCGCGACTATCGCGGATTCCTATCCCATCCTTGTCCCGTTTCCGAAATCTACTCGTAGTCGAGGCACGTACTCGGTTGTTATGCCTCTCGCGCTGCAAATTGTATTATAAATTCTATCGAGCGACTCCATCTATCTGTTTAGCGATTTTATAGGATTCAATAGAATCGACGATTGACGTTGAGCCGCGCGAAACGGCCGTGTTGGCGGATTCGTTTACCTTTTTCGATAGTTTGTTAGGTGCGGTTTCCGGGCATTCTGGATCCTCCGGATTCAGGCAGGGCTTGCCCTGATAGCCGTTCGTTATCCCGGCCCTCCTCATGTAATCCTCGAGCGTTTTAAACGGAAACTTGCTGGACTCAACCAAGACCTGTATCTCGTCCAACAATGTCGAGGGACTGAGATTCGTCCACTTAACGCGTCTGTTGTTCTTCACACCGCTGTTCAATCGGAAAAGAAATGGTTCCGTCAACGAAGCTCGTTTATTCAATCAATTAATATTCATAATCGAACTCGAACAAACAGATCCATGGCCGAGCGTAAAAGTTAACATTAAAAGCACATTACTTACACGTAACATTTACGTGTTTAATGAAATTGCAACGTTCGAGTGTTGGCGCGTTAGTATGAAATTAATTTGAAGGATTTAGAAATTTGTCGCTAAACACTTTTTTTTATCTGTGATTAAATCTGCGAAAAAGCTGACGATACTCACGGTATGTGAACGGGAAACTCCGGGCCCAAGAGTTTACTACCCTCCCAGAAGCAATCGAGCGGGGTGATGATGGCGCAAGGTATAATACTTTCGAAGATCTGCGAACAAAAGAAAAAGAAATAAATACGCACGTCTTCTCGCAGGAGACGAATGCGTTCTGATATCGCTAACGAAACGATACGCTTGGATATCATCGTTAATTGGCGCTTAATGTTTTTTTTTCTATAACAAACAATACTTTCCGGCAATAAAACTGCACGCACGTTCGTGTTTAAACGCCTTGGAATTTCCTGTACTGTATGAGAGATTCCAAGGTGATTAAAATTCGGAGAGTTACTTTCTCCGCTCCGAAAAGTGATCGTTTCAGCGTGGAACGGCTCGAACCACACCTAACATGATGCCGCATACCGCAGCGGGACGCCGGCGTCATTATTCAACGCTAATTGCTCGCTCTCTTGTCCCGAGCCCTTCGCAACCTTGCCCCGTGCGTGTGCAACCGATACGGCGCGCGCACGTCCGCGCGCGGTTTCATACGCGTAGGAAAATTTGCAATTCCAACGACATAGAGCGAGTCTCCAATTTAATTCAGTTCAATGCAATTTCATTATCGTTAAACAGAGGGGCAAACCGCTGAGGGCATTGTATAACAGATTTGCGGCATTACTAGGCATTACTAGGCATTTTTTTGTATTAGTGGGTGTTATTTGGCCTTACCGGGGAACTATAAAGAATCTAAAAAGATAAAATGAGATAATAAGATAAAGTAATGCCCACTGGACATTACTGTCAAATTTTGGCGCATTAGTAGGCGTTGGTGTATACATGATTTTAGTCAGCTGTTTACCGCTCGGTTAAAACGTTCCGGAAATCGAAAACGTCGAATTGGCTGGACGAAGCGTTGACTCGCGAACGACTGGCGAGTCATATCCTAATGAGTGCAAATTGGGCGAGTTCTGCGAGATCGCTTTTCAAGTGTCATTCGGGGGAAGCGCAACAGGGCGACCGGGATCCGAGCTCTGTTTGAGCAGCTGTCAGATATTGCACGGGGTGTGTAATCTAAGATGATCTTATCCCGCCGTCGAGATGCAAGGCGCGCGCGAGGGTTACGAAAGAAGAACGTGGTGCGCGGGACCGCCCTATTCGAGTTTCCTGGAACCCAGAGGTGGGCCCTCGGTAATGGCCTAGTACCCAGAAAACCCGTATGACGATCGTTAATGTCGAAGCCGGACATTAGTCGGATCGGATTTTGTTTACCGCTCTATACGGAGAAAACCCTTCCCGCTCGCTCCCTCGTATACTTCTTGCTATTGTTGAGATTACTAGCAAAAAAGCAAGCTACTCCTCCACGCATTGTCTCAAATCTCTTCGTGTGGCGCAAATAGAAGAACGAGAGGTAAACCGCTGGCCAAAATCATCTACATCCATGCCTACTAATGCCCAGTGAGCATTACTTTATCTTATTGTCTTGTTTTATTTTATTTGCCTTGTTTTATCTTTCTTTATCTTATTTTACCTTTATAAAGTCCCAGCAAATCCTAATGCCCCCAGAAAAAGCGGTTTACCCCTCGTAGAAGAATAATTGGATATACCTGCTTCTAATTAAATTAAATGACAACGGAATTGTACGTATTGTGCAATGTTAAGAGAGAAAGCGAGGGAGCGAGAGAAAGAGAGGGCCAGATTCATGGCCATGCGTAAAAATTTTCGACGACGCATAAAAAAGCAGTCCCTTGCGCGAAACACGTTTATAATGTCCCGGAAGCGGCGGATTGGCGTTCGTGATGAGATCTTGAGACGCGCGTTTTTCTCCTCGAAATACCACAGCCACCGCACCGCCGTTCGTTCTCTAACGCGCTCACTCGTTAGCCGCGCGCAAAATGATGTAACGCGCGTACACGCACGTCGATCTCTCCTCGACGACGCGGATATCGATGCGGAGTTGTCATAAATTTTTAAACGTCTCCCACGTGATATTTCTCGAGAGATCCCTATCAATAATAGCGCACGTCGTGTCGATTAATCTTTCGATTATTGCATAAATCCCGCAAAGAAATTAATATCTTCCATCACCTTTGAGATTAAATAATTTGCAAGATAAATTGTCCTACAGTCAAAGTACGTGAAGTGAGTTATCAAAAACGATTTATAAGCTATTTAAAAAAGAGACAATGAAAGATAGAAATTTCGAAAATTATTGAAGAATTAAATAAAAACGAGTTCAACGGCACAGATTATTAATAACCCAAGCGACGTGGTTATGTTCAAAGTACGTTTAACAAACGTTGAAAGAATATACGTTTAAAATTTAACATCTTTTTTTAATCATTTAATAAACGTTATAAAACGTTTTAAAATATCTATACTTTACCATTCTCTTTTGACTAGTTTAAAAATACTGTTTTTATACGAGACATTTCGACGGTTTGATACGTTTTCATGATATATGAAACGTATATATATATATGTGAAATTCTGTCTGTCTGTCTTTACACAATTCTGTGCCAATGGACTGAGCCGAATCAAGTTTGGCATAATTATTCAGTAGGGTTCTGCGAAAAATATAGGCTATCTTTTAACTTGGAAATCCAACTACCGTGTACTAAAATCAATATCAATTTTCGCCTTTTTATATGCCGTACTTAAAAGTAATTGTAATAATTAGAATGAGAATTTGTGCATTTATAAAAGTTCGAATAGATCAAAATAACTTCGCGCAAATTTAAAAACAACTTTTGCCCCTTGAAATCAATTAAAATGAGAATTGGTGCATTTATAAAAGCTCGAAATAACTTTGCGCATTTAGGAAAACATAACATTGCATGCGGGCGTCTCAGAGATGCAAGTAAACTGTCTCTGAAACGTCATTTTTTAATGACAATAGGTAGTCGAGTCAATTCTTCCTGTCGGAAATAAGAAACCGAAGTTTTTACAAATTTACTTCATGGGAAATGAACAAGAAGAAGCCGATCAACGCTGTGAAAACATTCTCGGTGTAAGACGAAATATTGTTTTAAATTGACAGCGACTTTTGCTGTAAATGCTGCGCACTTTAACATAATTTAGTAAAGATATTAAAACGGCATTGCAAAGAACGGATGAACATAAAGTTGTTACTCGAGCGGATAAGAGACCAGTTGAGGAACATGAAAGACGTTTTAATGCTCCAACTGTTAATGAGGTTGCAATTACTATAGTTGGAAGTGAATTCGAAAGGTGTGACATAATTATTCACAAACGGAGTGAAATAAAATATGTGGATAAGAAATAATGAAATGTCCAAAAAAGTTGCTTTCAAAAAAAGGGAGACCCGAGCGAAGCCGAGCAAGCGTGCTAGTTATACATATTTTTATACATTTTATATGTCATAGAAACATATCGATTAAACGTTTTTCAAACACAAAACAATAGCGTAAAGTGGTGAAAATCTCGATACCGGACGTACGCGATATTTCGCTAACGACGGCTATCGATAGCTTATTACGCGGGTACGTCGTGCACGTGTCACGTGCGCGCATTGATGCCTTCACTAGGGGTCTAATGGGACCGGGAGACGGTGCGTAAACACGTGCTTGCGCGCGCCATTCATGCTGTACGCGCGCGCGCGCGCGCGCGCGTGCATCCGTCCGGGATGCGTATACGTGCGTATATATGCTAGCTGTATTACCTGATCGATGTAGTGCATGTCGAAGTTGGGTATGCTCGGCGCGTAACACAAGTCCTTCAGCTTCCACGTGCTGCAAATGACACATTGCATTCGTGACTACGAGACTCTTTGCGTCATTTCATTCTTAAAGTAACAGACGGTCGACGTGCGGTAAAGAGCGATCGCGCGAATTAAGCGGCACGTTGACAATTTTATCTGCGCGTTTACAGATATTGGCTAAAGTGAATCGATCTTAAAACGCGCGGATTGAAGAGACGAAGAGAGCGATAAATGGTCTTATATGAAGAAATCGGAAATACAAAGGAAACCCTTCTCTCACACGAAGCTTTGCTTCCGCAAAAATTGAGCTTGGAAATTGAAAAATTCATATCTCCCGTCAGCTTTGAGATTAAATCATTCGCAAGATTAAGTGCCCTACAGTCAAAGTACGTGAAGAAGTGGGTTATTAAAAACAATTTACAAGCTATTTAAAAAAGACAATAATCAAAATTTGAAGAGTGTCGCTGACAAATTGCGATATTTATGAAATATAAACATCATTTCTATTTTATTAAATAGGGTACCATACAGTTACCCATATTCTCATGAAACAAATTCATTCATCAGCCTATGATGCAGCATCTCATTAAATCCGAGCTCAATATACAATAAACGCTATCGATTTTCCAATTCAATTTTCTAAAAATATATATATATTTCAGTTTTATAGGAAGTCATATAATTCCGCATTCTCAATTTATTCTCTCTTTCGCGCATAATTCCTACTCTTCCGATTTGCATCACCGCTAACAGGTCACCCTGTATAAACGCCACGATCCCGTCGTGGGGATTAATTATGCCGCCGAGCGGCTAGTCTCTATCTCTCTCCGTTTCTAATTAATTCAACTCTCGAATTAAACGCCGGACGTTCCCTTTCCGTATACAAATGAGAAAGCGCAGTGAGCGGAGGAAAGGACTTACATATCGAACAGGTGCACCTCTATATCCAACGCAGCCTCCAGCACTGCCAAGTGTTCCCTAAGCGCGGCCGGGTGCAGGATATTCGCCCCGGAATGCCTCGGCGTCTGGATGACGAGCTGGTGAGTCGAGGCGGTTGTCTCGCCGAGCACTTCCGACGCGTAGGTGAGCTCCTTTTGCAACCTTCCACCTTCTGCAAACGAAAGTCAGTGAGCGATTAGTTCACCTGCTTCAAAAATAATTGCGATGAGCGTATTGTAATTCAATTATAATTCCGTGACTGCGTTAAAAAAAAACATCGAGTACATATAGATATGAATCGACGAAAATTACTTAGCCCTTTGAACCATACATTTTTCCTTTCAGTCGATTTTTCTGAAACTTAAGAGTTTTTTGGGTCACTGATTACGATTCTGGTGTCAGAATTACAAAATTCAAATGCAGATTTTCAGGCGCCACGTTGGATCCGCCATTATAAATTTTGTAAATCTGACCTTATAGTGTCATCAGCAACCTGAAAAATTACCGAGTTCCAGATCAATCGATTGCATATTTTGCAATTTTAACTCTTTATATTGGATTCGCTAGTTTGAATTTCCAGATTTTCAAATTTTGACTTTAAATTAGAAATCTGTGATCTGAAAACTCCCAGATACCTAATTTCGGAAAGTCGTTTATAGATATAATTGTTCGACTACAGGTTATCTTATAGAAAACAAACTTGTTTAATTAAAATTTTAACTTTGAGCTGCTACATTGAGTCAATCGTCGGTAATTTTAGAATTTCGACTTCAGCTTCAGAATTAGCAAATGAAAAACTTTCTAGATATGAAGTTGTAAAGACATCGGAGTGAAGGAAGTATCTATTGGTTTTTTACTTTCAGGAGGTGTAACCACACATACATGTTCCACCGTGCTTCAAAGGGTTAAATGTCGCTTTGCGTCTGAATTTTTATTGTTTTTCTTTTCATTTAAATATTCATTGAATGGTACACAATTATTCGATGGACAAATAGTTTTCGTATGTAGATTGTTATTCGGGGCACGATACGATAATTTTTACGTCGAGTTTCTTGTTGGATACAAAGTAGGATTAGCGAGACCCGTTTAAACTGGATTTTTACGAAAAAATTAACATGGAAACGATGTCGCGAGCTTCAGGTGTTCTTTCAGACACACATGGGTTGACTTTGTAAAGCCTTCCGGCGGACGATGTTTGCGATCAGCGCGGTTCCCCGAAGAGAAACATTGGCCGAGACAGTGTCGTAACACACACGTTTCTGCGCGTCTTTGTACTGACAAAAATTCCTGGCAGTCTACCAATAAAACATTCCCAGAAACGGACATGAAAATAGCAGATCGAAACGCAGCAGGAGAGACCGATTCGTAATCTGGCTGTCACACAGATCGTTCCCGCCCGCGTCAGCGGCTCGTTGTTTTCTTTCTAAAATCGATACCCTGCGGACGATGTTATACTCGTATATCGAATCGAATTTCATGTCCTTTTTCGAATTCGAATCTAAACGAATCGAGTTAAATTGAGAATTGTTTAAATATAATTTCTAATTAACGGTACAATTATTATAAATTTACTTTTAACACACACATTATAAGAGAATGTTTGGCGTGGAAAAGTAATAATTATACAATATAAATTTGTTTTAAGGTAAATTACATATTGAAATATTTCAAACTAATAACATATACTTTGTTTAACATCGCAGTAACTAAAACAATGGGCAAAAAATTACAGACAAATTGTTAAAATATTCTAATAATAACATTAGCAAATGACTGTATAGTAATTAAAATAATTCCTTTTACTATTAATGCTCTTTTGTTTGTTGAAAGAACCAATCGCATTCTATTGCTACTTAGCCACTCATTGTCAATGAGCGACTGTACCTGAATACCTGAATACTGAATGCACCATGAACGCAGCTATTAACGATTCACGACCGTACAGTTCTGCTTATTAACGGGAAACAGGATTTATGAGATTAGCAATATATATAATTCGTATTCGAGCCATCTGGATTCGAAATTTTCGAATAGCCTGAAATTATAGAAACTCAAAATTCTAATCAAATCGGATATCACTCGATTCGATTCGATTCATGTTCGCACGTCTCTTTAACGGACGGCTTTTACTCACACGGAGAAAAGCCAACAGAAATGAGCAACAGATGCGGAAAACCTAATTTATCTTCGACGCAGAGAGAGCTCTCGTCAAGATTCTCTGTCTCCGACGACACAATCCAGAAGCTTTGAGAGAAGACTTCCGGAGTGAGGGAAACGCGGCTTCGACTCAAAGGGAAGTGTTTTCGTTTGACATCGTGATATCGCGGTCGCGCTCCATCGTTCCCAAAAAAGGGAGGACCTCGCGGAAGAGATTTTAGAGCGAGCTTAAAGAAAGGGGAAAAAAAAGAGGGCGAATTATTTTGGCTCGAAAGTGCGCGGGCACCGTAGGAGCATCTCGCGCGGGGATCCACTTCGCTTTTTATAAGCCATTTGAGGGAGCGAGACAAGAAGCCCAGAACCGTCTTTCGCGGAGGACGACGCGCTGCGCGCTGCGATTTAAAGGAGCATACACCGTATATACGACGAGCAGTAGTAATGGACGAGGGGCACACGAGGATGATGGCCGTTGTGCGCGCGCGCGGGGTACCCTGGTATCCCACCTAGTCAGATTTCACCGTCAAAAATGCCGACGGCGTATTTGCTCGTTCCGCCACGACGCGGTCTCCGTGGACCACCCGTATTGCTCGCCGCGCGAAAGTGGTTCTCAAACGGCCTCGCGAAAAGGACGACGGCGCGGGTAAAGAAACGAAAATGAATTGTTTCCTACAATTTAAGGAAAAGTCTAACGAACCGACGACGGGACTAGGGATTAACTGTTTAATTTACTGAAAAGAAGAACGGCTCGTGTCCGCGCGCGAGACACCGCGATTTTACCAATGAAATACTATTTTTTTCCACGTGTGTGTGTTTCAGCGTTTTATTTTTACATCTAAATTGGCCGATTAAAGAAATGAAACGAGTGTGTTAAATTATTTGCTGTTAAAATTCAGCACAATTTAATTCGTCAATTTAAATAAATCTGATAAAGATTAAGAAAACTTACATCAGACGAGTGATAAAAAAAATGATCAATCATAAATATACATTGCTAATACATATAATAAAACATTCATAATGATTTTATATATAAATTTCTTTTGATACAAAGTTATGTTCATATACGAAAAAAAATTAAAAATATATAACAAAACATCTTTTTAGAATTATGTCACGAAACAATAGTAATCTTCAAGATGAAACAGTAAGAAAAAAAATAAAAGTTCCAAATTTCATTCGACCTCAAAAAAATTAATAAATAAGATATTTTGAGATTTTTTTCATTTCTTCTACAATACAAATAATACTAAATATCTCTCTCCTTTCCTAGTGAAAAAAAGAAATATGTTAAAAAACAGATCTCCAGTAACTCTCCTTGTGAAAATTGTTGAATAATAACTTACAATTAGTGCAAAAGGCTACCATTTCTTTAATCAAGTTTAAGATAATCTTAGAATTTGGAGTTCTTTTTTAAAAGAAATCGTAAAACTTCTTTATAGGTGTGAGAAAATTGAATAATGCAAAAATTGGGTGTTCCGTTGTCAGCTCTACTCAACAAGCAGGAGAGGCTATGCACAAATAACCCAACTTGCGCTATGATTTCTCTGTAGACATAATCAAATATTCCGATCATTTTTTTATCGATCACTAAGAACGTCGCATGACATAATTGCCGCGACGATGACAGTGAGACTATGCGTTTGTGAATCGGCCTGTAGAATGCGGTCGGGCACTGAGCGTAATAAAGACACTACTCTCTGCTCTACGAAGCAAGAAACGTGGCCTAACGGTGGAAAGCGGAGAAGAGGAAAGAGGTGGAGGAAGAGAGACAAAAAGAGAAAGACGGAGAGAGAGATAGTGAAAAAGGGCAGCACCGCCAACGGAGAGGACGGTTAGAGGGGGACTAGCAGGCAGGATACATTCGCAAGGGGGCGGGGGGGGGGGGAGAGGGCACCGGGCTTGATTTATCGACGAGGCGTCTCTGTAATTATTTCTCCGTCTCTGTCCCGTCCAACTCTCGGGAGCGAGCGGCTCTCTCGCGCCCCCTCACCCTCCTCCCATCCCCCAACCTGTCTATCTGCACCCTTCCGGCTACCGTGATTGCGGTCGCGCGCGCTCACATCTCTCCGCGCATCGGTCCCGCTCGCTCCGGGGCACCCTTGAATGGCCCCGTCGTCTTTCAGCTCTGTCGGCGCGCCTCATTCACCATTCCTCTCCTCTATTGTTTCCGCGAACTTCCCGCGAGCATCCCGGAGACCGGGGGTGGAATCGCGCGGGGACGTTGCATCTGTCCCGCGACGACAACGACGACCATCTTCCAGCCCTCTCTCGCGACGGGAATCACGGGGGTCCTCGTTCCTCTATCTCTCTCTCTTCGGGGGAGTTCTCCAGGGTCAAACCGTGGGGTCAGCCGTCGACGTTAATGCGATATCACGATCACGTCTTCCAATTGTGAAAGGGAAAGAGCTCTATTAAGCTCGGGAATATAACGATTGCGCTATTCGGCCGCTGGGAAGCGATTGATATGTCCGATAGCGAACTGACGTTTACGTTCGACCCGAGATTCGAAGGTTCTCCAGGAAGAGGAAAACGAGAGAGCCATGCTCGAGTTCCGCCCTCCGTCTCCCGGAGAGAGAGGGAAGCAGGTGCACGCTGTGGCCCCCTCCATTTATATTACGGGGAGGGGGGGATTTTCTCATCTCGCCCCGGTCTTACACTTAAAATCAGTTTAAATCAATACCACCAGAGTGTTTGTATCGGTACCAATTATATCCGTTTCAATGATTTGCGCTTAAAGATTTACGTAAGAGACCTTCACGTAGCGTCGGTTTACTTCAATACCGGAAACTGCAGCTTTCTGTTTGCAAGACGATATCATTGATATTGACGTTGACGATCAATAATCATATTGATTGATGTTGATTCATGATGTCAACTTACAATTCCTTTCCAATTCACCTATTGCTAAAACTATAATAACTGAAACTACCAGAACTGTGAGAAAATGTAAATTTACTTGCAGAGTTAGGATTTACCAGGACCGGCCTGCAGCGACGAAAGCTTCTAGTGGAGAACGAAGAGTCTCCTTAGATGACGTAAGCGTCTCGCATCGCGTTGAAAATACCGTTCGCGCTGTTATTATTCAAATTATTTATTCTAGATCGATCGACGGTCCTCGTCGGAGCTGGATCTATTCATCTCCGACCGGCGCGCAAGTGCGGACAGCTTTATGGCATGTGAAAACGTAAGAACCACGTGGCAGCCTCGTTAGGGGTCCTTGTTCCTGCGACACGCCCCGGCTGGCCGCGCGATGCTTCGAATCTTGGAGGAAATGCTTAGAATTTCCTGCGTGGCGAGAAGAACATGCCCGCCCGCTTTCCGTGAGATTGATGGGCGGTTCTTCGCGGCGTTCAATTCCTCATTTCCTATCGAA